ACCTTAAAAGGAAGCAACTCTCTGACTACTCTTCCTTAACTTTTATATTTTTTTCTTTATAAAAATGTGTGTTTCAGCTGGGTGCATGCCTTTAATCCCAGCACTCAGGAGGCAGAGGCTGGCAAATCTTTGTGAGTTTGGGGCCAGCCTGAAAGAGAAAGTTCCAAAACAGCCAGGACTACAAAGAGAAACCCTATCTTGCAACAAAACACACACAGATGTATGTTCTGAGCAATTTTCAAGTTTTCATGCCAAGTTTTGGGTTCTATCATGGCATCCGTTACACATGTTATCAATCATTTTGCTTCTTCGATGCCCTCTTCTTTCTTCCCTCTGTACTCTCGGCTGATGCCCTTTATTCCTCCTGTGAGTCCATCCTGTCACTTTCCATGTGTAATCCATCATCTCCTATGTGTAATCCACCACCCCTTATGTGTAATCCATCACCCTCTATGTTTCTTACCCTCCTTAAATCTCTTACTCTTCTTCATCACAATCCCTTTTTCTAATTTTCTCTCTCTGTGTCTCTCTCCATCTCTGTCTGTCTGTCTGTCGCCTCCAAAGTCTGTCTGTCTCTCTCTCTCTCTCTCTCTCACACACACATACACACACACACACACACACACACACACAAATTTAGGTCCTACACATGAAGCTAAACACATGTTGTTTGTTTCTCTGAAATTCATTTATTTCACTTAATGATTATTTGCAGTTGCATTAATTTTCCTGAAAATGCCACAACTTGATTTTTCTTTGTGGCTGTTCAAAATATCATAGTGTATATGGCCACATTTTCTTTATCCATTCATCTGCTGATGGACAGCTAAGCTGGTCCCATTTCCTTTTTTTGTGAATAGTGAAGGTATAAATATGGGTGTGCAATCTATGTTACCTTGGAGGCCTTTGGGTATATACCAGAAGTGATAATACTGGGTCATATAATAATTCTATTTTCAGGTTTTTGAGGAACTTACATACTGATTCCCATTGTGGTTGCACAAGTTCGCATTCCCATCAGCAGTGAACAAAGGTTTCTCTTTCCACATATTCTCACCAGCATTTGTTGTGATTTGTTTTCATTATGATAGCCTTTCTGACTCAGTGAGATGGAATATTGTTTGTTTGTTTGTTTGTTTGTTTTTGGTTTTTCAGACAGGGTTTCTTTGGGTAACAGCCCTAGTTGTCCTGGAACTCACTTTGTAGATGGGGCTGGCCTGGAACTCAAAGAGATCCGCCTGCCTCTGTCTCCCAAGTGAGTGCTGTGATTAAAGGCGTGCACCACCACAGCCTCCTGAAATGGAATCTTGAAGTACTTATATTGCATTTCTCTATTGCCTGAGGATGCTGAATAATTTTCAAGTGTTTACTGTTCATTTGTACTTCTTTTCAGAACTGTCTGTTCAATTTATGGTCCATTTACTAATTAGATGATTTGGATTTTGGCAATTAATTGTTGAAGTTCTTTATATATCTTGCATATTATCCCTTGTGTGATGAGAAGTTGACAAAGATGTTTTCCCTCATTCTGTAGGCTGGTTCTTCATTTTGGTGACTGTTTCCTTTGCTGTGTAGAAGTTAATTTCATGTCATTTGTCAATTCTTTTGTTTGTCTGTTTTCTGAGACAGGGTCTCTCAAGATAGTCCTGGCACTGCTACGTAGACCAGGCTGGCCTTAAACCCACAGAGTTCTGCCTCTGCCTCCCAAGGGCTGGAATTAAAGGCAAACACACCCAGCTGGCTGCATTTGTCAATTCTTTGGATTTTTCTCCTGTGTTATTAGAGTCCTGATCAGAAAGTCTTTGTGCCTTTATCTTTTTTTCTTTATATTTTAAAAATATATCCTGATTAGTTCCCTTCTCTTCACTCTTCCTAGTTTCTCCCCACCTCTCCACCCATTCAGATCCCCTCCCTTTCTGTCTCTCATTAGAAAGGAACAGGCTTTTAAGAGACAACAACCAAACACGGCAAAACAAAATAAAATAAGATAAAACAGAAAACCATCACATTGAAGTTGGACAGGACAAACCAATAGAAGGAAAAGAGTACCAAGAGCAGACACAAGAATCAGAGACCCTGTTTACATACTCAGGAGTTGCACAAAAACACTAAACTGGGCTGGGCGTTGGTGGTGCACGCCTTTAATCCCAGCACTCAGGAGGCAGAGGCAGGCAGATCTCTGTGAGTTCGAGGCCAGCCTGGTCTCCAGAGTGAGTGCCAGGATAGGCTCCAAAGCTTCACAGAGAAACCCTGTCTCAAAAAACCTAAAAACAAACAAACAAACAAACAAAAAAACCCACTAAACTGAAAGCTGATAGATAGATAGATAGATAGATAGATAGATAGATAGACAGACAGATAGATAGATCGAGCACCTGGTGCAGACCCACGAAGGCCCTATGCTTGATGCATCTATCTCTGTGAGCTCATAGGAGCCTTAGCTCAGTTGATTTAGAGGTCCAATTTTTTTTCTGGTTGTCCTCTATTCCCTCTGGCTCTTACACTCTTTTTGGGATTCCCTGCGATTTGAAGGGATTTGGTGGAGACATTCCATTTAGAGCTGTGTGTTCCAAGGTCTCCCTCTCTGTGCAATGTCTGACTGTGGGTCTCTATATTTGTTACCATCTGCTACTGGAGGAATCTTCTCTGATGGCCTAATAAGGCACTGATCTATGAGAATTGTACAATATCATTATGGGGTCATTTTACTGCTTTTTGTTTCTTGTTTTTTTTTTTTTCCCCCCCCCCCGGTAGTATTTGGCTTTACCCTAAGTCTCTGGCCTATCTGGCCTCTGTTTCTTGATCACCCAATGGTTCCCATCTCATAGTGTGGGCCTTAAGTCAGATCATACATTGGTTGGTTACTCCTACAAGTTTTGTGCCACCACTGCCCTTGTGTATCTTGCAGACAGGACAGATTGTAGAACAAAGGTTTTGTGGCTGGGTTAGTGTTTGCATTTCTCTTTTGGTAGCCTGCAGAACACCTGCCTGTCGTGGCCCGGCTTGTCTCAGCTTTAACCCGAGACAACCATGAAGTGGGGGTGTGTGAACTTGGAAGCTTCTAGGAACGCAACAACGATAAAGACCAAACACAGGCATCTTATCATCTTTAGAGAGCTCTCAGTTCCATGTTTTGGAACTAGAGTCATTTGTTTATTAGCCATCTTTTCTGGTGTCCCTTAACCATCC